TCAATCCTCGGTGATCGGTGGCGTGCCTCCCGGGTTTGATTACTCTCTCTCTTTTTTTTACGATCAGTGGAAACAAGAAGATGCTCGGTGTATTCGGCACTTTGCTTCGTTCATCATTTCGTAATTTTGTTTTTTTAATATAAAATTTTTAAACTTTGCTTTATGTAAACCCCCACCTCTCGCTCACTCTCGCTCGCTCGCTCTCTCTCTCGCTCTCTCTCTCTCTCGCTCTCTCTCGTTCTGCACGCAGCCCTTCTCGCAGTCCTACGGCCTCCGACGGGTAGCTCATATCAGCATGCAGAGCTCCCCGTCATCTGCCACCGAGCACACGGCCTCCTCCATCGCCCACTGCTCCTTGAAGGCCGGCACGGCGTGGGTCAGCCGCGCCGCATGGCGGAACTCCAGCCACACCCTGCCTCCGACCAGAGCGCGGAAGATGCCCAGGCTGCTTTATTCCCATGTCCCCATGCTGCCCCTACAGTGGCTTTCGCCCAACATTTCTAGAAATTAAAAACAGCGCGCACGCACGCACACACCCTCCACTTCTGCCAATCAGCTGTACTCTATCAGCTCCACTTTGCTGTCATTTTGAGGAGTCCGGGAATGTATCACTGTCTCGGAACGAAAAAAAAATATCTGAAAGGCAGCGTCAGCGCTGATGTGATGCAGAACCCTCTCCTACGCGATGCACTGACCTACTTCTCATAAACCGCATGACTACAGATTTACTTTAATTCAACACTCCGCTTTGATGATACAGTGACGAGCCCCACGTAAAAATGGGTGTTTAAATCTACTTCTGAGAAGTATTGTTATTGTAAGGATATTCATAGTTCTTGTTGTTGTTGTTGTAAGAATGGTAATGATTCCCAGGCCGAGCCTTAACCAGCCAGATGACTCAGAGATGGAGCAATGCTGCTCACAGTTGTCCTGTGAATAAACTCGTCCCCTCCATAGGAATGAGGAATTTCCACCAATAGCGGCTCCAGGCTATCAACAGGAAAATGAGCAACATCTCTACGTTCATTTTAGCACGCAATTAACTTTGACTTAAAACAAATATCTATATAAAACCCTAACACAAATCCTAACACTAAGCCCGAGGCTGAAAATTAGGTTTGCGTTTAGAGTTATGGTTTACTGTAGTCCTTGCCCTAACCAAAAACCCTGTTTCGATAATTAAGTTTAAGGCGATGCCCAGTAGCATAGTATGAGCCGTGATGCAAGGGATTGAATAGGGTTATTTGGCTACCCGACCCAACTCATTTGCAGCCTGGCACCTTTGCTGTTTTGGCCCATGGAGCCCAATGCAGTTGCACCGCCTGCACACTTACTGGGCACTGGAAATGCTCAGGATTAGGCTTGAGTCTGGTTTTAGGGCTGGGGTGGTCCCAACCCTGGCTCTAGACCTTGCCCATAACCCGAAGCACAACCTTTAATCTCGTCTCATGGCTAACTGTAAGCGTATATGCCTAACTGTAAGCGTATATGCCTAACTGTTACCCAGTAGGGTGATGAGTAGGCACGCAATGATTCGTCGATTGGCATGTGTACGATACAAGTATAGAATTGTGCATGCATCAATTATTTAATATGAACTGTATGCAAATTATTGGCAAAATGCATTCAAATGTTACCTTTAGGCTCATGGAATGAATGAGACATAACAAATTATACGTTAAAGCAAGTTAGCTACAGATCAGACCGACAGTACAAACAAGGCCGGACAAGCAAGATGACACAATGCGTTCTGGAGTCTAACCACGAACCCTGGCTTGTGAACGGAGGTGAATCATTAAATGCCGAGTAACGAGCCCCGTAAGAGTTTACACTTAAACTAGTTTTTTTTTGTGTAACAGTGAATGTTAAAACATTAACGCCCCGCGGAGATTACAGCTTCTTGGTTCTCATCCCTTTGGATAAATTCCAGAGCCGAGCTCCACATCGCAGTAGTTTAGCGTGACGCATGGAGCATGCGGGGAGGGCATCGGGGAGAAGGGGAGGTGCTGGCAGGGAGGGAGGGGGCCCTTTGGGGTACCTTGTAGTCAATTCGTGGTGATTTGGTAGTGCTTTGCAGGTGAAGTTGCGGTGATTCGCAGGACTGAGCATTGAGAGCACCGCAATTGACGTGTCGATGAGTGGAAAGTGAAGAGGCGAAGAAGCCCTGCAGATTGCTCGCTCACGCCACTGCAGGCGAAAGGGCCTCTGTTCGGAGCTCGAGAGCTGCGGTTCCCAGCCTGTGGTAAGCCTCGTCGACCCCCTGGTGGTTCGCGAGGCTGCTACGGGGTGTGGGGAGGAGGAGGGTGGGGGGGGGGTCCGTGGAAAAGAAGAAGAAGAAGAAAATAATAATAATAGTAGTAACGTCCTCACCGAGGAAATGTACGATTTTTTTCGTGTACGATTCCAAAAAAAAAACTAGTAGTAGCGTGCGGTGGTTTCGAGAAATGTTTGGGAGGTTGAAAAGGGGTCCGCACACTCGGAGAAGGTTGGGATCCGATGGTCGAGAAGAGTCCCTCTACGAGGAGGGAGGGGGGGTGTATTCGGTCTACTCTCTCGCTCTGACCAGGCAACTTGGAGTAGTGATAATTGTTTTTTTTTACCCTTTAATCTGGCAACAAAACTGACACCTTTTTTTTACAAGGAGTCATGTTAGCATTGACCACAATACCTGCAGTCGGAATGCAAACAAAAAACACGACTCTGATAATTTAAAGCTTTCGTGACTGCATGGATTCATATTCTTGGTTCTTTCGGTAAAGTGACGTAGAAGGAACGGCTGCTTGAGCTTGGAGTAGGTTTGGAAAACCCGCGACACGTGACGGGTGGTGCCCATCCATTCCAGCTGTGCGGGACAGAGGGGTGGGAATTGAATCGGCTTGCCCACGTTTTAACCGCAGCACGAGGAGGTTGAACTGGCGAACTTCTGGATTGCCCGGTCCAGTGTGCTAACCGTTACACCAGCGTAAGAGTCCTGTGAAGTCAATGCGGCAAGAGAAGATTTTGAACCATCTGTATAATCGGAGTCGAGCCTGGGCAGCTGATCTGCACGTACAGCTCCGTTGTGTTGCTTTGTGGGCTTGCGTCATTTCTATGTAGGCTTCCTCTCGCTCTGTGCGGTAGATTCGTTCCAAAAAAGGGGGGCGCACAAAGCGAAGACAGCACGAGACAGCTGGCTGGCTGGCTGGCTTGCCGAGCAGCGCCTGCAGTACACACACAATGTTATCCCACGCCCGACCGCATCGCGGCATGAGTACAATTCAAACCGCATATCGCGAATTTTGAGTAGAAATAGGTGAGCTGCAAAAATGCAAAATCGCACGAAACCGAACCGCATAAAGCGAGGGAAACCTGTATTGTGCTTCTATGTTCTCATGTCTATGCCCCCCCTCCCTCCCCACCTTCATTAACCTACACAGGTGTGGGGAGAACCTCATCCAGAAGTGGATTGACGAAAGGTGCTTTCATGTGCGTGTACATACCGCGTGGTAATTACCAGCCATTGTCATCCAGCACAAGGCTTTTGAATACCACGAGCTAACATAGATAAAGGTTCACCTTGACGCTTGATTTCATTGCTCTTCTCACATCTGTTTGACAAACGAATGTTTGGTATTTGTTATCTTGTTTCCTCGCCATACGCAGTCTGATTGATGATAAATATAATTATTGGGTCACACGGACAATCCTAGTGGCTTCCATTTGTCGAGTTTAAGTTGTCTTTAAGTTACGTTTCGTTATTCTGTTTCCCAATATGTGCATCTTATTTTCCTCTTTTCCTTCTATTCTTCCCTTATCCTTATCTCTCCCTTCCTCTTCCCCTTCTTTTCTTTCTGTTTCGGCCTCCTAGATCAAACATGGGGGACACACACAAAGGCGTTTCACACGTGCGCCAGTCACTCACTAATTGTGCACTCTACTTCTGTACCGTTGTTAAAAAAAAATCGTGAACACTTTTTTTTTTAGAAAAAGACACTGGGTCACTGGTTGGACGTTTGTGATAGCTTTTGGTGACCCCTGCTGGATTCCACGAGCTTCCTCTGTGTGTTCACCAACGATTAAAGTCGCTGCAATACAAAAGTAAGATGAATTATTAATGAACGGTTGAGCATGCCAACATGTTCAATTAAATATCAGAAGGGGTGGAGCAGGGCCCAGTGGTTTGCACACTGAGTTATGAACTCATTAGCCATGGCTTCGAGCATGATCAGTGGCGAGTAATATCTGAACCGGCACCGAGTTCCCACACTCAAAGTCTCCCATTGACCAGCGTTGTGAAGTAGGGTCAAACAATATCCTCATGACTGCACGTGGCATGGGCTGGCCCTCGTCTGGCAGTGACAAAAATCAGTGAAATATATTTTAACGCATTTTTTTTCTATGAAAAAATATATATTGTCATAATTGGTTTTTTTACTCTTTTATCTGGCAATAAAACTGACACCTTTTTGTTGCCAGATAAAAGGGTGATAATTGGTAAAAAAACAATTATATTTATTACTGGCAAATGAGGTTCCAATGGTGTAAATGCTTGCCCGTGCTCTCATAGTCTGATGGTGCATTGTCTTTGAGTTGTGCGCCTTTTGGCGTCATCTGGTCCAACACCATGTGAGACTAGGCTTTAAGGAAAGCTGTCTCGGGTGTGGAACAATCAACTTCAAGGACAGTGCATACATTATCAGAGTTATGTTTTTTGTTTGCATTATGACTGCAGGTATCGTGGTCTATGCAAATATGACTCCTCGTAAAAAAGGTGCCAGTTTTGTTGCCAGATAAAAGGGTAAAAAACCAATTATCATATTATTTACTGTCAAATAAGGTACCAATGGAATATATATTGTCATTTACATTCACGAATCACAATAACGGTGGTGAAACGCTGTGCTACTCTTTCAAAACATCAATAATGTTACACGCTGTTATTTATTTCAGCGGTATCAATTTAATAAGGGAAGAAAAAAAACACTTCACAATCGGACACAGGGGAAACTTTCGATAAAATACAAATTAACAAACGGACAATGGGCGAGTGACCTGGATTTTGATTTCATTTTTGTTTGTACTCTTTCTGTGCAGGTTTTACGGCCCCCTCGCCTCTCTCACTCCCCGCTCATGGATCTTCCTGCTCCTTCGCCAGCGTCTTGGATATCGTCACCATGGACACCATGTCTTCTCCAATCTTGCCAACCCTTGACCCCATGCGGCTGCACAGAAAGAGCGTCTTGAGCGCGTGTTGGAAGTCACGGTTGAGGAAGGCGTAGAGCACGGGATTGATAGCCGAGTTGCAGTACCCAAGCCACGTCATGACCTTAAACATCGTGACCACCACCCTGTCGTGCTTGGAGCCGTACGCGTTCATCGCCACGTTGAAGACGAAGTAGGGCAGCCAGCACATGACGAAGGCCGAGATGATGATGGTCATGGTGCGCGTGGCCTTGTTCTCCAGCTGAGGGTTGTTGGGTCGCTGGCTCTTGGGGTGGTAGTGGATGTCGAGCGTCTGGGATGCGATGCGCGCCGCCTTGAGGCGCGACGCGCGGTACACGAAGAAGTACATGGTGCACATGGCCAGGAAGGGCAGGTAGAAGGCCAGCGTCGAGGCGACAAGCACGAACGCCCAGTTGGTGATGAAAAGGCACTCGCGGCGCGCGTCAAAGCGCACGCCCGGAATCTCGTTCCAGCCCTGCGTGACTGGCAAGAAGGAGATGAGCAGCGAGTACACCCAGATGGATACGGTCATCGCGATGCACCTGGGGGGGGGAGGGTGGGGTGAGTGACGGTGGTTTGTCGGACAAATGAGGACAGAAGGACGAAACAAATGTTTGTAAAGTTCGGCAGTGTTCAAAGACACCTTGCAGCTGTTCTAATGGTTGGCAAAGAACCCGCGGCATCTGGGAATGTGACTCCTCTGATCCGCTGTTGCAATTAGCGCAGGCGATTGGAGCAAGTGAAGCACCAATCTAGAACACGCACTGTCTAAGACACCATGCGTATCACCGATTTTACGGAGATGTTTTGGCACCCAGCAATGGTAAGGGGTGGTGTTTTCTCGCATGTGTCGCAGCAACGTGTTTACACACATCTAAAGAAAAATGTATAAATAACTTAAATCATGCTGATTATGCGTTTAATAAAATCGCTGTACTCTTTGGTTCTTTCGGTAAAGTCACGTAGTTAGAAATAAAATAAAATATGAAATATTTTATTTCATATTTAAAATATTAAATAAATAAATAAAAATTCTTCTAACTACGTGACTTTACCGAAATAACCAAAGAGTATGGATTCCTGCAGTCACGCAAGCTTCAAATCAATTTTAAAATTTCTGTAGCTTTAATTTTTTTAATGACACGATTTTTGTGAAAATGTATAGGTATAGTTACATTTTTTGGGTTAGAAGTGTCTCATTATTTCGGAAACACAAAAAAATAGATCTCCAATCTTTATGCAGGAAGCGCTTTCTGTTGCTATCCCTATTGCGGTTGCTGAGCACAAGCTCAAAGGCCAAACATTCCAAGTGGCCAGCAACATCACGGCGCTGTGAAGAGTCGCGACTGAGCAGAGTCGACGCATTTCTCGAATCGCGCGAGGCTTCGAGAACGTGCGAAAAAGCGTGGTGCATTTGCGCTTCGCGCGCCAATAAGGTGCTGAGCATGCTGACCTTTTCCCAGACATGCGCGTTGGGTAGTGGTTTGGAGTGGCCACGGAGCAGTATCTGTCCAAGCTGATGAAACAGAGCGTCACGATGGAGGCTGTGCAGAACATCACGTCAAAAGAAATCCACACTTTGCAAAAGAGCTCTCCGAAAATCCAAACGCCCGTGACTTCGTATATGATGCTGCGTCCACATACACGGATACAAACAAACCCACGCACGCAGATAAAGCCTCCTTCAAAACCTTCATACAAACTGCGTAGCATTTGTAAGGTGTGCATATTCAAAATGGTATCGGATATAATAAAATATGTAGTGCTTTAGCCAGGCTCGCCTGCACATTGTATCGTGATAATGGTTAGCCCTTTCTCTCTCTCCAGTGAGTTATGGTTACGATGCAATGTCTCCTTGCGTGTATTTTTGTAAATATATTCTGCCTGAAGGGTACTTCGGGGTAGTAGGAGTGTAATGATTCGCCCCCTTACTGAGTCTGTTCAGTCACTCGGCAACCCAGGTTGCCATAGCAAACTAGAACTGACGTCTCAATGGGTTATTCTTACCTTGTGGAATACATTCTACAGCTGCTAGTAGTTTAATTAAAGATCCATTCTTTTGTTGAACAAATATGACAAACAAAACGACCAAGAGTGGCCGCAGTTGAACCTTTATCCAGTAGCATGCAACACATCATCATCATCTTCAGCCATGAGCAATCCACTGCAGGACAAAGTCCGGAAAGCATCGATCTTCAACACACGCGTTCCTACGCATGTATCGCGTGCTTAACAATCGACGGCGCGTTAAATTGTCTCCTGGGTCGCGTAAACCTCTCGCGGTGTAGCGCCTCGCTGGAGGGCACAGACGTCGCGCGCGCAAAATGTTGCAGCGCCCTGTGCCGCGTGTGGCTGCCGCACGCGCGCACGACGCCACTCACCTGAACGGCATGACGAGGCAGGCGACCAGCAGGTCGGCGGTGGCCAGGGACATGATGAACATGTAGGTGACCGTGCGCAGACGCCGCTCCACCAAGGGGCACAGCAGCACCGCCGCGTTGCCGAAGAGCGTTACGATGTCGATGAGCGACAGGAGAGCGCACACGGCGAGGGCGCCCGGCGACAGAGCCACCTCGTCCCGCCGCCGGTCACTGCCGTCCACGCGTCCCTCGGAAAAGTTGCTTCCGACGGACGCATTGTCGTGATGTCGCGACGAGTTTGGTGATGCCATCGACGATTCCCCCCCCCCCTCCTCCTTTTTGAAAGCGTGTGCGGCTCGCGCGCGCGCGTGTCGCACGTTCGACAAGATATCTGACGTGGAAAGATGATGCGGTTCGCTATGTACGATTGCTATACGCTCGCTGCGAAGTTGTCTTTTGGCTTGGTCATTCCCAGTGAACGTATTGACGGTGCAGTTAAAGCGCAGTCTTGATCGTCAACGGACCCGCAATGTCGTGTTTGAGCACGCGACGGAACTGATGCTGAAATCTGTCGAGAAAAAAATATATTTACATCGAAATGTCACGTACAATTGGTTACATTCGTCATGAGCTTGTTTCCAAGAAGCCCCCGAGATGAAAACGCAGCCTTTGGAGAAGCACGCACGTAGTTCATTTGGCGCTTGCGCTGTGCAAATAAAGCCGTTGAATATGAAGCCGTTGAACCTCGTAAATGAGCAGAGGAGAGGGGAGAGGCGTCCCACCCCACCGAAGTGAACGCTGCTTCTAAGAGAGAGAGAGAGGAAAAAATGAAGGGCTGGAGGGGAACGTGGAACGGATTGAGCTCAAGACGAGAGGGACCGAGATGGCGTGGCGCGAGACGTTTGCCAATATTTCTGGAGGGCTGTCTGTATTGTTGCATTTCATAGTTGGCGGTCTGTCGTGCCTGGCAATCCAATTTAGGGGGGGGGGTGGGGGGGGGAGTACAGCAGCTTCTGGTCCCCTGTAGCGCAATGAACTTCATCGACCCAATAGAGGCACTTCTCCACGGGCGTTTGTGCACACGGCGCTACCACTATCAGGGTCGGAAACAATCGCGTTTGATCGTAGTGTGAAGAGTCGTGACAAAACTGCCCTATCAATAGGGTTTGTAGCGCAAACCATGAGTGCAATTCTATAAATGTACCATTTATTACTTGCATAATTGATGTTCCTATAAACACTTCACTTGAGAATAGATTGAGCTATTTCTGAGTTGGGCACCTAACTACAGCCGATGAGACACAAACACACACTTTGTAGGTTTTGGTTTAATTGCAAATAACAAAACGAATCTAAATAAATTCCAGCCACTCTCAATCCACCAGCGGATGAAGACGTCCCAACTCCATGGCAATCGTTGGGGTTGTTTGACCATACTTCACCAAGCTGATCGGTATGGGTTGGTGTACGGTTGGGGGGGTGGAGGGCAGGACCGGTTCTGACGATATCTGTCACTGCTGTTAGCTGTCTCCACAATTCAAACTTCTTCTTAATTTGTGTCTCCTATCCAACCTATATCGCCACAGGCCACCGCTTCCGGTATTGGCATTGCCAAATCTTGACGAGTGCATTGTGGTGCTGCAGGGCATCTCGGGAGATGGTCCAAGGTTTGCTTCTCCTAACAAGAAATCAAACTGCGGTCACATCAGGATGCATCGTGCAGCTCGCTCACCACTCCACTGCGGCTCCACCGTGAATGATCAGTCCAAAGCTTTAATTTTCTCTTTTATGGACCAAAGGCTACAGTGAAAGTAATGTGGAGCCTAATGCACGTAACCCGAGACTCGAATTTGCATTGGCGGTGCAGAGCGCAGTCATGACCACATGCTTGAGTGCAGGCAGTTTAATTCCCTATGCCTTTGTCAATCAGAGCGAGCGTGAATGCGCAAACTAATTATATTGTACTGGGGGCTTTGAACGGGCAAAGACATTTTTGTAATCGACTTTACAATTAGAAGGGTGGAAAATTCACTGCAAATCTGTCAGCGGAATACGTTTTATGTGTGAAGGCACATTCGTCAAATGGACTAAAGTTTTTGTTTTATTTACCTGTGTATCATATATGGGAACGATGGTTAGCACCGCTGGACTTCAGAGGTCAATCTCGACAGAGGTCACAGGTTCATTCGCCCCGCGAGGCAGTGAACCATTGAGCGAGTTTCTAAAATTCCCCTCCTGCCTTTGTCCACTCGGCAAGAAAAAAAACCAACCGGGTGCAGCACAGTTTCGTGAATCGGAAGATTGAATGTGATGGGGTAAAGTGTGAGTACTACAACCACTTACAAGACATTCGGCCGGTGTGGAAGAGTAGGCCAAAACTACCCTCGAAGAGGGGTTCTAGAGAGCTCCCTTCACTCGAGGCTCCTCTGCCAGCAGTGGTTTGAGCGAGAAATTGCAGGGCAACACCTTTTGATTCTAGATTTGAAGCTTTCGTGACTGCAAGGATTCATACTCTTCGTTCTTTCGGTAAAGTCACGTAGGTAAAAAATGAAATTAATAAAAATAAAACAATAAAATCACGACGTTTCGGAGGCAACACAAGTCTCCGTCATCAAGTGGGACCGTCACAGCCAGATTTGCTGCATCAAGTGAGGCAAGGATTCAAGATGCAAGCCCTTAAATACATCTTGAATCCTTGCCTCACTTGATGCAGCAAATCTGGCTGTGACGGTCCCACCAGATGACGGAGACTTGTGTTGCCTCCGAAACGTCGTGATTTTATTGTTTTATTTTTATTAATTTTATTTCATTTTTTACCTACGTGACTTTACCGAAAGAACTAAGAGTATGAACACCTTTTGAATTTTGATAAAATGTGTCCAAACACGCGCCCAGAGACACAGTCCTGCATTCAAATCCCACGTTATGCACTGACATGTCTCCATATTCGCCACGGACACAGCCGCAAAAAAATGTATCAAACTGGATGGTTAGTATGTATCAAGAAGTTAATTCAATTGTGCTATTGGTACTACTGCTGTTTGCATTTTTTTTTTAATATCATTATATGTAACAACATAAGAGTAGCATACCTCCAGTGTGCTAACACTATATTACTGGTAGGAACCTCCTGGTTACACCAGCCCACAGGGGATTATTGTGTCCGTCCGTCGTGCAGGGAGGGGCTGGGTGGGGAGGGAGGGGCTGGGTGAGAAGGGGAGGGGAGGGTGGGGAGGGGCTGGGTGGGGAGGGGCTGGTGGGGAGGGGCTGGGTGGGGCTGGGTGGGGAATGGGAGGGGTGGGGCTGGGTGGGGAAGGGCTGGTCACCCCGTGGTGCCCTTATAAAACTCAACGTTTAACCTACTCACGCCGGCTTGTGCCCACCCTCACAGTCAGGCATATTTGCGGAATACACCACGCCGCCGTTGACCCTGGCCATTGACCGAGCAACCCAACGTTCCTACCAGCTCCCTCCGCAGGAATGTGTTCAATGACCCAATGCTGCAGTTTTCTAAAATGACCAAGATTCTTAGCTCCCCTCTCGGCTGCCAATGTCGTATTGGTCTCTTGGGTTGTTTAACAATGCCGGGCAGTGCAGGATGGTGGTGGCGGTGACCCCAGGACTGATGTGGACGCTACTCACTGCTGCTGTTAGCTGTGGCAGTTGCACCACATGTGCACTCGATAGCTTAGCCCCGCTGGTCGTATCGCAAGAATGCCTTTGGCCCGATGTTGGCTGCACGTTTGCAGCTCCGTTCAGCCTCGTGCGAAGGCCAAGCAGGGGCTTTGCGCGTGCAATTTTTAAATGTCACTCTGACAACGTGGGACATCATCTTCTTGGTTCTTTCGGTAAAGTCACGTAGAAGGGAAGTAATAAAATAATCAAAATAAAACATAATAAAACAATTATTTTATTATTTATTATGTTTTATTTTTTTATTTTATTATGTTTTAAGTAATTAAAAAGTAATAAAATAATAAAAAATAAAACATAATAAAATAATTCTAGTTTGAGGCTTTCGTGACTGCAAGGATTCATATTCTTAGGTTTTTTCGGTAAAGTCACGTAGGTAAAAATGTTTAATAAATAAAAGTAAAATAAAAAATAAAATAAAAATCACGACGTGTCGGAGGCAACCTGAAGACGGAAGCTTGTGTTGCGTCCGAAACGTCGTGATTTTTATTTTCTTTTTATTTTACTTTTATTTATTTAAATGTTTTACTTACGTGACTTTACCGAAAAAACCTAAGAATATAATAAAATTATTATTTTTTTATCTTTTATTTTTATTATTTTATTACTTCCCTTCTACGTGACTTTACCGAAAGAACCAAGAAGATGAATCCCTGCAGTCACGAAAGCTTTAAATCGAAATTTAACGTGGGATATTTTTGGAGGTTTGGTTCGCGTATTTTACATATACACAGTGTCCGAGTCGGCGCTGATTTGGGGGTAGCTTGGGACATTGCAGGGTATTCGGGGTAAATCAGCAACATTTTGCGTTGGCGTTTGAACGCTCATTTCCCTCTTAAAATATTCTTTAGCTGTGTTGTGATCGCGATTCTGCACAGATGGATATCATTATTATGGAAAATTACGTGTATTTATATATAAAAAAATAAACATCACGCCAGTGCAAGCATAGTGATTATTAATAATAATTAGGCTGCAAACATTTGATGTCATTATGCATTTTACGTGCAACCCCAATTTAATGTAATATTTGCATTTATACGGGGTGATCCATTTACAGATACCCATCCTAAAATAATCGGGATAAATCAGCGTGAACATGACAACCGCTACACGTCTCCCTTCAATCTCAATGCATGACTTCAATATTTGTCAGACTCCCACGTGGAAGATATGGAGACATCGCTCTCGCATTATTCAATCAACTGATGAGAAGCAAGTAACAGGATTCATAAATCAGTGGGATATCTATAAACGGATCACCCTATATTTTGAAAATGGATTTCGTGTGTGTGTGTGCACGCGAGGAGCCGTACTCATTGCTAATTCAACCGCTTCTCAAGCCACGTTTCACATTTTTGAAATTCCTGACCTTTGCTATTGAAAATTAAGCCAGTGCACACTAATTGACGTCAGGGATCTGCCAGGCAAACTCTGCTTGGCATAGGAACAGCTGCAGCAATGGTGTTACTTGCTCATGCCACTGCTGGTGGGAGGATGTCCGATTATGAGCACGTTCATGCTTGTGTAGTCTACTAATTCACAGACACCAGTAGGAGGTTCTCTCTCTCTCTCTTTGATTCCGGCCTTCACAGCCTTAGAGGATAACCACACACCG